AATATAAAAGAGGAGATAAAACAGAAAAGTAACTATAAAAAAAAACAACAACAAATAAAAGGTAGCCACGAACGGGGATGGAAAAATCGAATCGATTGGTACTGGGAGGACATAAATCTTATGATACTTCACGAAGCGGTTAGCGGAGTCGTTAAAACTTAATGGTGCTTAAATCCGACGAATTGAGCGTGAAGCCATCGATAACCTCTAAGGCCTTGTGCCTTTTACTACTATTCGTCGTAGCAATTTTTTTCTAAAACCCCTGACTCCCACTTCCACCCTCACCCATATCTTCTTCTATCTTCTTTTCTAAAGCGAATTGTTTGAAAAAAAAAAGAGGTAGAAAAATGATAGGATAAAAATGTGCTTATACCGCGTTTTTCACGTGTACGAAAGATATAAAAATAAAATATAAAATATAAAAAGAATAATAAAAAAAAAAAAAAATATTGAAGAGTGAATTTACAACAGCAGACAGATGAACAACATGATTCGCCTACGTGTTTGTTCGTATCTTGTTGAAACAACATGACATTATGATAAATACTGTAATTGATCGATGAGAACAAGGGGTTGTATGCCTGGTGATAAGAAAAAAAAACACAAGAAAGAAAGAGAAAAAAAAGAGGGGAATTAAAAATTAAAAATAAAAAGGAAGTTAAAAAAAAAAATAGCTCGTTTGTGGTTTAGATCTAGCAGCCTACTTTCAAAGGTCTTCTTCATTATTCCCGGATATCGAGATCAAGCATCTGTCTGTCTGTCTGTCTACCTATCTATCTATCTATTCATCTATCTATCTATCCATCTTCATCTTTCTCTTTCTATTTCTCTTTCTCTCTTTATCTCACTCTTGTTCGTGCCAATGCTGTTTGCTCAACAATCACGTTAAACGGATTATCTTGATCACGTCGGATGAACGATCAAATATGTGCCGGCTTTTCCTCAACCGACTACGAGACCTTCGCTAGTGGATAATTGATTGAATTCTATTTGCACTGATCCGCTGATACAGAAGAACAAAACAAAAAAAAATGAGGGAGAGTAAAAGAGGAAAGGAAAGAGAAAGAGAAAAAGAGTGGGAAATAGGAACAAGGGTACGTTTACACCCACCTTTTTATAGACTGACCATAGTTGTGTTCAGTACAAACCCTAACTACGCACAACTAACAGTCTTCTTTTTTTCGTGCTCCTATTTAAATGACTTCTATTTTTTAATTATGCTTTTTTAGTAAACACTGAACCAATTTATTTTTTTATTGTTGATATTGTTTTTCGTTAATAAGAGGATTACTTTGTGTGTGTGTGTTTTTTACAAACAAATCGTGTTTGAATTATTCAATATAAGGTAAGTCAGTGTTAGAAAATTTATATAATGATCATTTAATATATAATACTATTTATAATATTTAATATAAATTATAGGTGTCTTTGTAAAAAGTTTCTTTTTCTTTCTTTTTATTTTTAATTATTTTATAATTACGCATAGGGCATTATATTTATACGATATTATTTCAATAAAACAAGAATGTGGATCGTACATTATTCTCATATGTAAATTAATATGAAATAAGACAAAAAAATATATGAAACTTATGGGACAATCTAATACGTGTATGAATTTCCATAAAACTACAGATGCATACATATAAAAGCAATTAAAAATGTATAATTTTATTAACACATTCCTTGTCAGGTGTAGTGTTTTAAAATAAACATGACATGATAATGACACGTATTAGTCAAATGCAGTTTGGTAAGAAACGCGTTGAGTAAATTCTTGTTAACAATAATTCTGAATAAATCCCAATGAAAAGTATAGATAAAAGTTAAAAAAAAAAAAAAACAATCAAATAGACGTAAAAAATAAAAATGAATGATAGTTGAATATACAAAACTTGTATACACATATCACACTATACCTACATACACACATATATACATATATATATGAATTTCCATAAAACTATATAGGCAAGAACATGAAACGTACTTACAAACGGAATAGAACGTATGTGTTATTCAAAATCGTTCCCACGTAATAAAGTTTTGGAAATTCGAGCAACACGCATACGATCCGCGTTTGATAAACTAATTCGCACACGTCGCATCTACACTACTACGACGGATATGGTCGCTAAATCGGTTTGGAAAATCCATCGATGTGACATGCGGAATCGGTGATTCGTTTCCGGAAATGAGGGCAGAAACGAACAATCAAATCGCTGTCGAATTAATGCGCTCTTCATGCGGACGATATTAACGAACGAACGAACAAACGAACGAACGAACGAACGAACGAACGGACGAACGTACGAACGAATATTACCGGCTGATGTCAATATTAATATTCTCATGTCAACCCCTCTCGTTTAGCCACGATGCACTTTTCATTTTAATCGTTCTCTTATCGATATCAATGATCGAGAGAAAGTGAACGAACGAACAGAAAAAAATATACAATAAGGATCAGAACTATTTCATAAATCATCTTTTGTTCGGATAAAATTAATTAACTGTATATACGTTTCACCTAAAATAACTTATTTAACTCTCTTATATAACTATAACCCCAAAAAAATCTTCTCTAATTCGTACAACATTTACTAACTGTACGTTTTACTTAAAATAATTTATATAAATTTATATAATTTATATAAATTTATATAAATTTAATAAAAAACAATCAATTTATTAACTAGTAGTTTATAACAAGTATAAATAGTATTATATATTTTCTTCAAACTTTGATTTATTCTATTCAATATTTCTTGAACGAGTAATAAATCAAATTAGAATAATTGTTAATTAACGATTGATTTATGAACAATTAACGAATCATTAATGATGATAATTAATATAAAGAAAATAAAAATGATTTGATTTATATATATATATATATACATACACAATTTTACTAACAATTATACAGACCAAATAGTAGCTGATAGTATTAAAACGATAACTTCATATTTCACCTGATCGATCGTTATCGTACGCAGATTTCCAATAATCTGACGAATAAATGTCATCAACATACCATTAATTTTCTATCGAAGATAAATTGCAATTACTTATCAATGACGTTAATAGCTTGACTTGTTAGATTAATTAAAACAACTAACTCTGTGAAGTATGTAAATACAAAAATACGAGAATACGTGCAACGAGTCAGAGAGAAATACATTGCAAATTAGAAACAATTGATTTTTTATATTTAATGCAAAACTTTAAAACTAAAAAAATTGAAATATTATTTATTACTACAAAAAATATTGATAGATTTAATTTCATTAATAAAAGATACGAATAACTCTTGTAATTCATTTACATATGTATATAAATACATCATTACAATAAATTTAACATTTATAGAGGAAACACAAATGTTTAATATCAACTCTGGTTGATGGTACTGCTAGCCGGCGTGTAATTCGAGTCTTGTGTGCTGAGTTAAGGTCAATCGGGTTCAAGAAGACCCAGAACGGTAATAAGAGTCCTTAGTTTAAGTAAAATGAGTGTTTCTCTGATTTTATCATTCTCTCTCTCTCTCTCTCTCACTCACTTTGTCTTCCTTAATAAAATGAATATTTGTTTAAATCCGAGTTCGTGTCGATGTAATCAATGATCATGCTAAAACGAAAGCACGAACCGCTTACTTGCTGTGTTGAATTTGTCGAGTGAAATAAACGAATCCTAGTTTTCATTCGTGTTTCCTACAATTTGCATCCTTACTGTCACGTTCATCATCGATAACAAGCTAAGAGAATGGGAAAGAGAGAGAAAGGATGACAACGACATTACCTGTTCCCGCATACTAATTCTCTTATAGACAAGGTCCTATGTCTTTTACTGTTTCTCAACATCCTTGATTACCCTTTTACTATTGATTAACCTATCCTGTTAGACTCTATTATTCACAATGAACTTGCTTTTATTATATACCATTTTGATGTTTCCTTTTGATAATAATTATTGCACGACAATTGTTTCAAATCTTTCGACGTATTTGAATATAAAGTACTGCGCTGAATAAATTATTTCATCTAACTATAATACATGTTTAACATTCTTCTGATTCTACAGTTTCTCTAATTAAAATTAATTTAATTATAATTCAAATTAGATAAGATCAAATTATTCTTTATTATCAGAAATTAACGATAGTACGAACTTCTTCTTCTTCTTTACACGTGTTTACTTTTTATCGTATCCCATTTGAACCTTCATTTTGTTAATGATTATTACAATGACAATTGATTAGAATCTTTCGACGTACTTGAATACAAAGCTCGCATCGAATGAATTATTTGATCTAACTATAATACATAATTAACATTCTGACTATATGGTTTCTAATTAAAATTCATTAATTACAATTGAAATTAGATAAGGTCAAATTATCGTCTGTTATCAGAAATTAGCGATATAGTGTGATTTCTATTCTCTACATGTGTGTTTTCTTTTTACCATATCAATTTAGTCACCAATTGCATAAGAATTGATTAGAGAAATTTTGACGTATTCAAATATAAAGCTTACATTGAATAAATTATTTCACTCTAATTATAGTTAATACAAATTAACATTTCGTCTAGACAGTATCTAATAAAAATGTTCTAATTAAATTAGAAAATTAGATTATGTCCAATCATTGTATGTTATCAGAAATTAGCAATAATGTAATCCACCTTCTACGAGTGTCTTCCTTTTGCACAGTGATATCGATTCGAAGGAAACAGCCGAGCAAGGATTCTAATCGTAGTGAAATAATTAAACGCTGGGAAGGAAAACGAGAAGGAGAAGGGAAGAACGGGGAGGATAAGGAAGAGAACGAACAGGAGGAAGAAGAGAGGAGTGAGAGAAAGCACGTTAATCGTTAAGAGGTCGTTGAACCTGATAAATTAGGAAGTTTGTAGGTAGATACAGATTGTTAGCTCTGACATCTTGAAAAGAATTTTACGAAGATAAATAAAGACAAAAGATATCAAAGAAATTGGTGAAAGATGCCATTTAAAAGGGAAACCAGTGGAATCGTGAGAGTGTTTATGAAAAATCGAAAAGTAAAAAGAAGACGACTGAAACGTTTCGAAAGTTTCTGCCAAGCGTTACAATGCTATTGCTCTAATACAACCATACACGGTTTGAGATATGTCACTGCTACAGAATTAAGTTACCTCGAGAGACTTCTATGGCTAGTTACAGTAATTCTATCCTCGATATTTGCCATCGGACTGATCTACATGATAGCAAAAGAATTTCAGGTGATTCCTACGATGCCCCCCTAACGAACTAAACGACCCAATCGTTCAACGTCGACGATGATGGATAGATGGATGGATGGTTGCTTGGTTGCTTGGTTGGTTGGATGGATAGATGGATGGATGGATGGATGGATAGATGTGTGGGATGTTTGGGTGCTTGGGTTGGTTCGGATAGATGCTTCGCACCGAAACTCGGTTTTGCATCAAACGCCTACTACCATCACCTTGCACTTACACACACACATATATACATATACATTGAACGTTTACGAGACTACCCCCTAAGTTAAATCGAATTTAAATTTTCAAGTTTATCTTGCTCACGCAAGACCTACAACTTGATAATGATGCACCTCCTTTAATCTAAAACATTCTCTCTCTCTCTCTTTCTCTTTTAGACTATAAAACATATCTTAAATCACGTTTATGGTTTTTTTTTTTGAAGTGAAAACTTCTTTAGAATGGGGGTGATTTGAAAAAGAATGCAACAAAAAAGCGACAGATTTCCAATAAAACTATGGACAATTTTCTAATCTTTTATTATTTTTACGACGATCATTAGATGTCTAACATTAATTTCAATCTTGAACAATTTACTTTTCACGTAAATATTATTCCAAAAATATGCATAAATAATTAGAAAAAAAAAAAGTAAAAATAATATTATGTAATAAATTATCTTACTGTTGATCCTATGCACTCGTTTCATTCTCTCAAAACTTGCCTTTTTTTTTTTATATGTACCACTGAGATAAAAATAATATCGACAATTAAACTTTGATTTTCTTAACATTCCTATCTATAAAAATATAAAATGATAAAACTATTTATTACAATTCTCTTAGGCATATCCAACGTCAATAAGCATAAAATCGACGAATTACAAAACTTCTGGCGTACCTTTCCCAAGCGTGGTCATTTGTCCGAACCAGCACGTAGATTGGAAAATGGCAATGGATCTTGAAAAGAAAATATTTTCTAATTCTACAATAGGAAGGAATAATAACAACAGAAATATTAGCAGCAGCAGTAGCAGCAGCACTAGTAATAATAATAGTATCAGCATCAGTAACAACAGCAGTAGTAGCAACGGTAACAGCAGAAATAGCAGCATCCTAACTTTTCGTAAACTACTAAGGAAACTATCGATCATGAGTTTCGGTGACTTTGATCTTTTGGAGTTCTTAAAAGATCGAGATCTTACGGAACTAGCTGGTACGTTGAACAAAATTTCAATTTCAATTTTTAGACTACTCGTCTTTTGAGGAAAATGGTAAAAACGATAAATGAAAGGGAAGAAAACTCTTTGAACATATTCTTGACGGGAATAATAATAATAAATTTAACTTGATAAGTTTTCATACGACTTTGACAATTTTTGTTACTTTTCCAAATTTATTATATTATAGATATCTTTTGTTATAATCCTGTTTTTCTTTTTTTTTTTTTTTTTAAATCAATTTTCAATAATTATATGATACACGTGTTTAAATAGATAATACCTACGAGTTCGTGATTTTATTGATTATCCTTAATTGCCATTATTAAAATGAAATACCTCATATAATTATTAAATTGTATATTAATATATTTCAATTTATATTTAATAAATAAAACGATCAATCATTACGAAGTGAAATGAAACTCCTAACTTATACGATATTAAATTCTGCTATATGTAATATATGTATAAATAATAAAGATGCTAAATGATATATATATATATATATATATATCATTTTCGAGAAGATATCAACGTGACGAGAATACTTCTGGAAACGATGCCAAAGTGTTCAGGTCTCTTCTCTGCTTGTTGGTGGCGAAACTCCTACTATGACTGTTGTGAGATCTTCGAGGTTCAAAAGACGGAGTACGGCTTTTGTTACTCCTTCAACTCGGAGTTGTCGGAAGAACGGGTAGATCAAACTAAAGGGAAGGAATCGACGAGAAGACCACGAAGAACATCTGGTTACGGTGAATGGAGTGGCGTTAGATTGACGATGCATCTCAAGAATATAAATAAACCACCGGACTCGGGTAAGATTTATAAACCACAAAAACAAAATCAATTTTAGGTCTACCGGAAAGTTATATCTGCGTTTTTTACAATTAAAATTTGTTCATACCTTTTGAATAAATTTTATTAACTAATATAATTGTCATCATATTATTTATAACTTCTTGCTAAATGTAATAGCACAATTTGTATAATTTTATATTTTAAAAAAAAATACCTTTTTATTTCTAAATAAAAAAAGAAAAATTTATTATTTTATTTAACTTTATGGTAAACCTAATATAATAATAATAATAATAACCATTTGCACACACACACACACACACACACAATCGTGACCTTTTTCATCTCTCAATTTTTTGCATATTTGGTGAAATTTCGAATTAAAACACGTAGGTAAGAAGACAATATTATAATCAATTTTAATATTAAAAATACCATGACCGATTGTCAATTTTTTACAGAAATTTCTTACAAGTTATTATAACATTTGATGAATAAAAAAATTCTTATTGCATAAATGTTAATAGCATAATGCTTAACACTTCATTATATTTCGCTCGAAGAAAAATTTATTTGAAAGTAATGAAAATTTAAATGAATTCTCAATAAATATATATATATATATAATCGCGAGATAGTTATTATTCCGCTTAATTTACTCAATAAATAATAAATCGATGCGATATCGAGAATCAGAAAATGAACGGAATCATGTATGAGCATAAACAATTCAAATAATGCGTAAATATCGATTTATATGTTGGTACCGTGTGAAATGTTCTACGTTCTATTTGCGAAACGTCAATATACTATAATATAAAGGTGAAACGTTATGTTCTAATGCTTTACGGTATACGATATTTGCGATCAATGCGGATGACAAAGATTCACGATGTGTTCCTAAGATATATGTATTATATAAATCTATATTTTATAATACATACATAACAGAGAAAGACATATATATATAGATAACTATAGTTTTACCTATAATCTATTACATAGATAGACGTTAAAATAGAAGGTTTTAATCATAACTTTACAATAAGTTATCCGAATATTTAAATGTAATCGAGTAAATGTACATAATTTTATAACTCAAATTTGGTATTTATTAAATAAATAATAATATATTAATGTTATAACATAGATCTAATTAATAACAACAAGTTTACAATTATCGAGAATAAATTGGATTCAAATTAATCACATCAAAATGAAATATATATATATATATATATATACGTGAGTTGTGATAAAAGAAAAGATGAAATATATTGCTAAGTTTTTTCTTATCTTTTTTTTTTTTTTTTATTCTTTTTATAATAATAACTCATTCCCTTTAACGGGACTTTATTATAAAGCAATATTTCACTGTACTATTGTCATACTTTTACAACGAACAAGAAATTAATAAGCAACGTCAAAAGCATACTGTTTAAAAACGTTCAAATTTATTTAATTTTTTTATTCTTTATTTTTATTCTCTTCGTTCTTTCAAAAAAAAAAAAAAGAAGAAAAAAAGAAAAGAAGAAAAATTATATGATTTTGTAAATAATAGATCTTAATTGTAGAAAATCTTTGATCGAATAATCCTGAATGCTGCTAGGTGTATTTATTAGGGAATTCAAGCTTATGGTAACTATTGGATCTTCGTTCGTAATCACAGAGAGATAGAGAGAGAGACAGAGAGAGAGACCAATACGCAAGGTTTGCTCTTAATGTAACTCGAATGTTAAACCAGTGACAGTGTAACTTCATCAGCGTGGCATGTCAATCCAGAGCTCGTTAACCGAACAAGCAAAAGGCTTTATATCCGAATCAATTCCCGATATCCCATGTCGACGTACGCATAATTCCTGAAATGTCGTTGGTGAGATAACCAACAGCATTCTTCGGACGAACGAAATATCGATTCTGACGCGGTCTATCGTATACAACCCCCGGACGATTTCATTCTAAATTCACAATTACATTCTAACAATTTCTCTTGTATATTTATTGAAGTGAAAACTTCTTTAGAATGGGAGTGATCTGAAAAGTAAATAAACGGAAACGGAGCTATGTAACAAAGCTATGAAACGGCTGCCATACTAAATAATGAGAGAAAAAGAAACAAAAATAGGATTTAGACTGCGAGGGAATGAGACGAAATATAGCTATACAGTTTTTCCTATTCTCGGTCTCCTCTTTATGCTATGCTTCGTAGTTATCGCTCCTGGTTGTATATGTGTGTGTTTGTGTGCGACTGCATACTACAAAGCGTACACACATATTCTTTCGATACTCGAAATGTTTGTAGGTAGGAGCGATAGAAGGGTAGAAGAAATAAACAGAGATAAGCACGTAGGTATGCGACAAAAGTATAAGGTACAAACGAACCGACGGTCGACATAAACAAGGAAAGAGCGTGGTATGTTCTTTTTTTATGTTCATTTCTTTTCTATTTAAAAATGTTTCTATTTTATTGAAAAATTATTATTAAATTATTTATTTCGTAGATATTATTCTTATTAATGATTATGAAATATATAGATTAAAATAATTGTATTGTCTGCAAAATTTTACAAAAAAAAAGTTGATTATAAGATACATGAGAGAAAAAGAATTAAACAACATTGTTTTACTTATATACTTTTTTTATAAATATTCAAAGACATGTTTTTAATTATAATGTTTACGTATTTAGGAAATTTATACTAATTTTTCAATAAAATAGAAAAGTTTGTAAATACAAGAAA